GTCAATAATCAACTTTTTGATTTATTCTAGAAAATTCTTTTGTTCTACTGGCGCAATTTTTTTCGAAACACAGTGTAGTTATGTGTTCAGTTCAACACGATGAGTATAGAAAGAAAAGAAGGGTGAGCGCAAAAAAATCAGCACCATTAAGGGATCAACATGAAATAGACTTGATTATTTCGTTTTGAGGTTAAAATATTAGTATATTACACGTATTTCGGGAATTTGATAGTTAGACTATGTAGAGATTATTTCTTTAATAGTAGATTCATATTTTGCTCTACGAAATCATTTTTTGTTCTTGAAAATTAATAAAATTCTGCTTAAGCATGATCTCTTCTCCAAAAAACAAACACGTTATCACACACACTATCCATTCACACAAAAAACAACGAACTTTGGCTTAGAACGCATCCAGTCTCTACTCTCAAAACTCGAGAATCCGCATCTTCGCCTATACGTAATTCAAAGTTGGCGAAACTAACGGTAAAGCATCCGTAGCATCCTAGATAGACTCAAGGCTGGCTATAAAACAGGTCGATACAACTCTCCTCACTTTCTCGAACCACACGATTCAATCCGTATCAATGGCGTACTCATTAATCTTACCAGCGCGTTCGCAATCGTGTCGAAACCATCAATTCAGCGTCTAATATCGAGGCAACGTCTTTTGAACTATTGACGGATGCTGCTTTGATGCTGAGAAAATACCAATTGCCATCATTGAAATAGGCCTAGGTGGCGACAAATTTATTTCCCTCACCGCTCGTGAGTATTATCACGACCATCGGTATGGACTATATGGGAATATTGGGCGAAACAATGGACCTTATTGCCAAGGAGAAGGCCGGTATATTGAAGCCAAAGGGTAAAACAGTTTTTGCACCCCCAAATTTCGGCGGTGCAACAACTTTCACGTTCCGCTTCTCGATGACTTTCAATTTGAGAATGTTGCAACTGCTTCTTTCACTTCGTAAAGTTTGCTTCAATCACCTATTGTCATATCAAAGAAATACCAAATGACCAGGAAGGCTCGCGTTTCGCCAGTGTTAGGCGGGAGCTACTAGTTGATGGTGTTCATAACATACCAGCTGCATCTGCTCTTCGATCTTTTATTGATAATGAGTTTGACAAGATTAAGCCGATTCACTGGTTAAAGACGGTAGGGATATCCTGCAATGCTTAGATTGCTTCTTAGAAGTCACGATTCATTGTATACCGTAATATTCTCCGACGTTGAGGATATGCCATGGGTACACCTATGCAATCCAGTTCTCATCGCAGATAGCGCAAAGGGGATCCACACTGATAGTTTGCGGAGTCAAGTGTAAATTTGAATACTGCCCTCCAAAATTGAAATTAGAAGCATAGCTCACACGTCAATAATGTCGTATTATGTTGCAATACATATAATATATTCATCTTACTTTGTCAGTTCAATTTTAAGTTTATGTAATGACTTTAGATCCTCCCATCCATGGCACCAATACTTCTGGTATATGTACTTTGCCCTCACGTGTCTGAAAGTTCTCTAGAATTGCAATGATCACACGAGGGACAGCTAACGCTGTACCATTCAGAGTATGCACATATTCTGTTGTCTTCTGCCTGTCGTCCTCAGCATGAGTACCGCCACCGCGGGACGAAGTTGGGCGGTATCTGATGTTAAGCCGTCGAGACTGATAATCCGTGCAATTAGATGCCGATGAAATCTAAAGCTGATATTAGTATACTGGCCTCACAAAATAGTAAGCGCACTCTCCATCGAATTGCTAACCTCTCCCCATCCATCACGTCCAGGCATCCATGCTTCTACGTCGTACTTTCTGTACGCACTTGCCCCCAACTCCTCGGTTGGCATATCTAATATCCTGGTTGATACATATCACAATTAGGCGTCTGAAACTTCATTATGTGAGACAAAATAAATCTAGTTGATGTACATTCTTTACCTATAACATAGTCCTAACTCTTCAAAGATTTCCTCTTGAATCATTCTGATTTCTTCGTGAATAGTTTCGCTCTCGTGCGGTGTTGTCAAAGCAAACAATTCTACTTTGCTAAACTGATGAACTCTGTATAATCCTTTCGTATCAGCCCCTCTAGCTCCTGCTTCGGCACGAAAAGCTCTACCAAACCCAACCATTTTTATTGGTAATTGTGATTCAGAGAGTAGTCTATTTGAATAAATCCCAGCCAATGGAACTTCGGCGGTTGCAGCCAACATCAATCGGGGAGATTGTCCAGAAGGCGAAGAACATCCAGATGTGACAAAGTAGTTCTGAGATGCCTCGTGCGATCGAGGCTGAAAACCACATGCATAGCTGTATTCTGCTCTTACAACGTCCGGTGTTATTATCGGAGTAAAGCCTTTACTCGTAGCCTTTAACATAGTGTATTGTATTAGAGCTAATTCCAACAAAGCGCCGGCATTGCGAAGATAATACCAGCTGCTGCCAGTAACATTTGCGGCTGATTCAAGATCTATTAGATCCAAGCTACGAGATAATGACATGTGATCTTTAATCTCAAACGGATGAGTGGTTCTATCGATAGGTGCTCCATGTTCTTTAATTATATGTGCCATGGACTCACCGCCAACCGGCGCATCGAAATGTGTATCGTTGGGAATTTTCGACCCTTCCAGTACTAACTCAGTCTCTAGTTTATCTAATTCCATCCCTTTAAGGTGCGCCTGTTCCTTTAGACATCGACCTTTTTCAATTAAAGCTGAATGCTCCCCGCCTTTTGTCATTTGAGCCTGTTTTTGTACGTCGTTTCTCATACGGTTTATATCTTTGACCTCAGCACGAAGAATTCGAACTTTATCGTACAGGTTTACGACTTTGTAAATGTCCGCATCGTGGATAGCTCTATCACGAATATTCTGGGCTATTTTGTCAACATTGCTTCGGAAATGCTTGTAATTCAAATGTGGATGAAGTGTTGAATGTGACTGCTCCTCTGAACCCTTGGGCGTTGATACTATATGAAAACGACATATGAGATTTTCATCAACATTAAAAACAACTACCATAAAAAATAAACAACATTACCTAGACATCGAATACCATGGATCATAAAGCGTGAACGAACTGTACTCGAGAGAAGACTTGATCTAATGAATTGAATGCGTATGAATGGACTCCCCATCGACCAGATAAAAATCAGCGTATTACAGTCGTCCCTCGTTTATATCCCCACCTCGGGACCGAGACTTTTTGGGGATATATCTGAAGCGGGATATATTCATTAATTGAGTAACACAAGCAATTTTATTGGGTAATATATTCTGTTAATAAGGTCTGGCGTCTAGACAT